CGCATCTTTAAGCTTCCTACTTTCAAAGGCGATGGGATGGCTGTCCTGCACGAGAACTCCTCCCAAACCCCGATCAGATGCATCGGTGTGAACTTCAAAGGGAACACTAAAATCAGGCAACTTCAACACTGGTTCACTCGCCACAGCCTGTTTCAAGTCTTCAAAGGCCCTTTCACATGCCTCTGACCAGACCCATGGTTGCTTTTTCTTAGTCAGATCCGTCAACACACCTGCCCTCCTTGAGTAACCGTCAATGAATCTTTGGTAATAATTAGCCAGTCCCAAAAATGATCGTAGTTGACCAACGTCCCTCGGACTTGGCCACCCTACTACGGCTTCAATCTTCCTCTTGTCCATCAAGATCTCCCCATGTCTGATCATATGGCCCAAGAATGAAATCTCTGAAGTGCAAAACTCACACTTCTCTTTCTTCACATACAACTCATGACTCCGGAGTTGTTGGAAAACCTTCCTTAGATGCACAAGGTGGTCCTCAAATGACTCAGAGTAAACCACAATGTCATCTAAATAAACCACGACAAACCGATCCAGAAACTCATACAGAACATCATTCATAAGATTGCAAAAGGTAGCCGGAGCGTTTGTCAAACCAAATGGCATGACCAAAAACTCAAACAAACCATACCTTGTTACAATAGTTGTCTTTCCCTCGTCCCCAACACTAATCCGAACTTGCCAATAGCCCGACCTCAAATCCAACTTTGTGAAGAATCGAGCCTTGGACAGTTTGTCAAACAAGTCCTGTGCATTTGGAATAGGATACTTGTTCTTAATCGTCACCTTGTTCAGCGCCCTATAGTCCGCAAACATCCTTAGGGAGCCATCTTGCTTCTTTTGGAATAGCACCGGCGCACCATAAGGGGCTTTCGAAGGTTGGATTAGCCCACTGTCCAGCAACTCCTTCAATTGGATCCGCAACTCCATCAGTTCCGCGGGAGACATCCTGTAAGGTGCACGAGCAGGTGGCCTCGTACCCGGTTCTAACTCAATCCGGTGATCCACTGCCCGCTTTGGAGGCAACTTCTTCGACAATTCTGGTGGCATCACATCACTGAATTCTTCAAGTAGTTCCGCCACTTTGTCTGGAACATCTTGAAAGACACCTTCCTTTATTTCCATCATAACAGCAAGGTAGGTTTGGTAGCCCAAACGCACTCCCCTCTTGAGTTGCATTGCTGAGCATGAGGCCAAACCTTTGTGTTCCTGTTTCTGATCAGCATAGCGTCCCTTCACAAATGAAGGCGAACACTCATCATTTATCATCATCCCTCCAAGGTAAGGGAATACGGCTACCTTAGCCATAATTAGGAATTCATTCCCCAAGATCAAATCAAAGTCATCAAGGGGCAACACCGTGAGACTGCATTCTCCTTGCCATTCCCCAACTTTGATCTTGACGTATGCCCGCCCAGTGACCTCCTTCGCTGCGGCATTCACGGTCTTGATCATGGATGAATTCCCTTCCAATTTAAGTTGAAGCCGTCCAATCAACCGTTCAGTCACAAAATTGTGACTAGCACCCGTGTCAATCATTGCCAACAACTCCATGCCATTGACCACAACCAACACATACATCAATCCACGATTCAAAAAATTCTGGGCAGATTCGTTCATGGCAGACAGCAACTGCAAAGGACTACACCGAGCCGGAACAGGATTACTTACCCCAGTCGCCTCCTCGACCATGGCATTGATCTTCGGACCTTTGGGACAGTTGCGTTGGAAGTGATCACCACCACACGTCCAACACCCACCGGCTTGTGCTTTTTCCTTATTCCCGCCTTCCGCAGGTGCTTTGCCATCGCCACCCTTCTTCTTAAACTTGGTTTTCCCCTCAAACTTAGCCTTCCCCTCCTTCTTAGGATGGTCCCCTTTCTTTCCTTGGGGCGCCATTGTCTTGAAGTCCACCAAGCTTTCTGCCTCGGCCATGGCAGTAGGCAAGTCCTTCACTGCTAACCTTCTCAGTTCGGCCTGTGCCCAATTTTGTAATCCGGACATGAAATTAAAGAGTTCGTCCTCCTCACTCATATTCTGAATATCTAACATGAGCGAAGAAAACTCTTTAACGTATTCCCGCAAGGATCCGGTCTGCTTCAACTTCTTCAGATTCTCACGTGCCATCCACGACACGTTGTGGGGCAAGAATTGTGCCTTCAATTCCTTCTTGAGTCCATCCCATGACTCAATCCCCATCCGGCCAGAGTTTGCATCATCAATGACTCTGCCACGCCACCAAAGTTTTGAAAGGTAACCATGCAAGGATAGGCAGCGGAATATAAAAATTTTTAACATCCTAACATGATTATCTTGCCCAGAATCACGTACTAAAACTTATAGTGAGTAAGAAATTTATACCTTTCTCCGTAAGCGGTAAAAACGAAGAAGTCGTAGGAAGAGCGTTGAAAGTGCAAACGTAACCGTTCAAGCGTCCGGTCTCCACCTTTGACACACGAACAACGCCGGAGTCTACCACAATCTTTATGCTAGTAAAGATTATAGTAGTAAAAAATATAAAGATTAAAATTGGGATAATAATAATCTTGTATATTTCTATAGAAAATATTTCTAATAATATTTAGAAAATATTATAGATATTTTCTATAGACAAAATGATATTAATAGAACACAAAAGATAAACTTTCTCTCTTTAAAATGTAATGGCCGAAAGTTTCTTCTCACACCTCAATTAAAAGCGTTGTCTCATTATATGGAGTGTTAAAGAGGATTTAAAACAATTATACACTTAATGACAAGTTAGGAAATTTCCTACATCTTTAAAATGCAAAGTCAAAAGTGTTTTGTCCTCATAAACAT